GCCGCTTGAAGAACATAAGAAATATGTTCGCGAAATCTTAAATCAGTTTCAAGGTGGAGTCCAAGGTTACGAACCTCAGAAACCACCGGAAGAAGTTGTCCATTTATATGTATATTAACGAAGTCGGAGTATTTTTGAACGTCTCCCATTCGACCGAAGATCATAACCTTTGACTTACTGCGATTCAATCTAAGGTTAAACCTTTCTGCAAGCTGAGAAAAAGCATCCAATCCCCTGTTTATCACAAAATTATCTGGAGGAAATGTGAAAAACATTAATAAGATGAGCTGTATAAATATATGGGGCGCAAAGCTGACCAATATAGGATAAGCACAAAAACAAAGTAACAACTTCAGAAATAAGTTACTTAACGTGAATAATAGGCAAGACCAGAAGAGATAGAGTCAGAAATACAACCACAAGAGAGGAACGAGGAGTAGATCTTTTATTGAAAATTATATAGAACACAGTTGCTGTAGTACGGGCACGTGATACATATAGATGATAAGATGCTTCCAAAAAGGAGGACTGGAGGCAAGAGGGAAACCCAGAACGAAGTGTCTGGTCAGCATCAAGAGTGCGATTCAGCAGAAGGGACGTATCGTTGAATAGAAAGTACTAAAAATAACATTGAAATAGTTTTAGCTGACACGATTTAATTCATGTCATTTTATGGACAAACATCGGGAGATTTATAATCATTAGAAGAACTCGAAATAATTATAAGTGTGGAGTGAAGAGACATAGGGATACCGTACGGCCACACGTAGGAAAAAGGAACCTTTAAGAAACCTTTAGAGATTTCTAGAGGATGCCAAAACCTATAGCTAGGATGTAGTGCCAATGATGATGATGATAATGATAGGAATACTGTGCATCACAGTTTAATGGTTACTATGTTATAAATCTGTGTGATCTGATTTAATGAATTTTTGTATACAACAACAGGTTTGTATACAAAATCAGGTGAACACGTAAGCCACCCAACATCTCACGTAACGAGATTACGTGTCCTGGAAACATTTCTCTTAAAACGTCCAGCACAAATCTTGCCGTATGAGCCATAGCTCCATCCTGTTGAAACCACACATCCGGATGTTCAAGTTCTCTAAGTATTGGTTGCTAAAAGTTGCGTAGCATGTCGACATATCGATCGGCAGTTACGGTAACCGTTACGCCTCTCTCTTCAAAAAAATAGGGACCCCAAACGCCAAAAGATCCAACAGCACACCAAACGGTAACACGTGGGCTATGAAGTGGCCTTTCATGGAGCTGCCGCGGATTTTTTGGTGTCCAGTAGCGAAAATTCTACTTGTTCACACAGCCAGACAAATGGAAATGAGCTTCGTCACTCGTTATCAAAAGAGCATTTTGTGGGACGTTTTGAAGAATATCGTTGGGACATGCTTTGCGATTTCCCCAGTCCCGCTGACTAAGTTCTTGCACAAAAAAAAATCTTCTCACNAGAAGAACTCGAAATAATTATAAGTGTGGAGCCAAGACCCATAGCTAGGATGTAGTGCCAATGATGATGATGATAATGATAGGAATACTGTGCATCACAGTTTAATGGTTACTATGTCATAAATCTGTGTGATCTGATTTAATGAATTTTTGTATACAACAATCATCTCCGGGGCGAAGGAATTTCTATAATCTTCTTATCCATTTAGGAGATTATTTATTGTTGGCGGTCACTAAAACGTCAAGCGCGTAAGAAGGAAGGAAATTTAGGAAAGCAATCCAAGAGAGGAACTGCAACTACAACTCACCATTCAAGCCGACCTACTTGCTTACTGATACCGAGATAATCACCTTACTACATTTCCTTATCACCAGACATAGTCACCATCTTCCAAGTTATTCCACTCAGTTATCATACTAACTTTTAATGAAAGGGTAATAAAAAGAGCAGCCACAGCTACTCTTATTAATAAAATTACTGACTGGGCATACTTTCAGAGTCACCTCCAGAACAAAATCAACTTAAACATTAGTCCTGGACCTAGTAAATAACTACAAAAAAAGAAGCTGAATATTCACCACCAAATTGGTGGTGAACAACACAACTAAAGAGATAATAACACACGACACAGAATCTCAGAACAGAAATTCAAAATCTTAAGCATATGAATGGATTGATTATGGAAAGACAGTGAACTAAGAAGATCAAGACACGTCTCTTGTTCTTCCTATTAAAAACAATAATAGGCCATGGGCCAGAGACAATACTCAAAAAGTTTTTTAAACATTTGAATGAAGTCTTTACTCCCAACCCAGGGCAAAAAACAATAACTATTGGATAAACAAACTAAACAAAATGCTTTCGAAGCAATATGTGGTGATATTAATATAGTACAGCTCGAACAGCTACTCAGAATCAGAAGATGCCGATGGTACCGTGTTTTTTTCTTTTTCCACGGGGTCTGTGGTGTTAAATTTGGAGTCAGAGGTGATGATGCAGTTGCAAGCTTCCTTTTTCCATCACCATTGTCTCCAATGGAACCTAGGGGTTGCTCAGCGACAGTTCTTTCCCCATCAATTGACAGTTTTCCATTACAATTCAGTTGAGTGAACTCTGCGTTTTCACTACGAGCAGATCCCTCGTCCTGACTTTCCAAATTTTTACTCCTTGATGGTTCTAGTATCGATACGTCCGGTATCATTACACAACTAATCCAACTCGTGGCACGGGCTGCGCGAAAAACTGAGGCACTGCCACTGCGCCGCACGTGTTCGTGCTGTGTCGCGTCGTGTGGTAAATTTAAGCCTTTAATAAAAACGCCATTGTAAATGGTATTTCAATTCGTCAATGAATTTCGTTCGGGGATGATGTTGAAAAACCTTCGCTTTCATGTAGCCCCAAAGGAAAAAGTCGCATGGGGCAAGATCGGGTGAACACGTAAGCCATCTCACGTAACGAGATTACGTGTCCTGGAAACATTTCTCTTAAAACGTCCAGCACAAATCTTGCCGTATGAGCCGTAGCTTCATCCTGTTGAAACCACACATCCGGATGTTCAAGTTCTCTAAGTATTGGTTGCTAAAAGTTGCGTAGCATGTCGACATATCGATCGGCAGTTACGGTAACCATTACGCCTCTCTCTTCAAAAAAATAGGGACCCCAAACGCCAAAAGATCCAACAGCACACCAAACGGTAACACGTGGGCTATGAAGTGGCCTTTCATGGAGCTGCCGCGGATTTTTTGGTGTCCAGTAGCGAAAATTCTACTTGTTCACACAGCCAGACAAATGGAAATGAGCTTCGTCACTCGTTATCAAAAGAGCATTTTGTGGGACGTTTTGAAGAATATCGTTGGGACATGCTTTGCGATTTCCCCAGTCCCGCTGACTAAGTTCTTGCACAAAAAAAAATCTTCTCACACAACGTTCTGACAAATGCAAAGCTGAGGAATGTCTAGCAGATGAAGGGGTATCTTTCAACTGCTTCTCTTACAGCTGCAACATTTTCAGGTATCCGAGCACTTCTGGGTCTACCAGTTGATTTTCTTTTTAAGGCTGAACCTGTGGCTCTAAAATTTGAAACCCACAAGAGTATTTTTTTGCGATCTGGAACCGGATCATGTCTACGAAGCACGAAGTGAGTACGAAAAGTTCTTTGGGTCGTAATCACAGATTCGTTAGTTTTCATAAATGTTTCGATAAAGAAGGCACAATGCTCGCCCGTCCAATTCATGATAACTGAAATGGCAAGGCGTGAGCTAGCAACCAAATACTCTGCTAAGTTCCCCCTCTCATCAGTGATTCGGGCACAGTGACGTTGCGAAATGTGGGAGATCATTTTGCCAGACCCTGTATTTTTATAAACTTTTGATGCACGTCAAAGCGACATTACTTGGCTTAGACTTTTTATTTATAACACTTACTCCTAGAACCAATGCCTGTCAAAACTCAGCCTTATTGAGAATGACAAGATCTGCAAATCATGTTAACATAGATCTGTTTCAGCATTCTTTCTATGCATTTAAAAAATTGCTCTTTGCTGCAGTTGGTATGTTGCCTGGGGCGTTTATTTGATATGTGATATTTATATCACCTAGATTTAGTTTTATTTTTCTCCTTTCTATTCACTTTTGTGCCATTATTATTATTGTGAGTATGTAATTTAACTTGTATATAACTGATTGTTTATGGTACAGTGTTATTGGGTTCAATCTGTTTCTGTACCCACTTGAGATAAATAAATAAAGAAAATGGGCAACTTCTACCATGAGAAAACACATCAACAAAGTTGTTGTTTAATGATATTTGAAACTAAGATTCTATACTCACTTACATTTTCAAAGTAACTAATTTAAGCAGAAATGTAATGTTTCCAAATAACATGTTACATATGGCATAAACTTCATAGCTCATAGCAAATACTCCTCCTGTACTGCAATTTGCCTGAGGCGATACAATTTCAACTTTTTATGGCGGAATAAAAATAAAATAACTAATTTGAACAATGTAATTTCAATCAAAATAACTTGTTCTAAGTCATAAATAAAATAGCGGACAAATTTTATTTGATATTTATTATTCTTTAAGTATATAATTCATGTTATAAAAAGGAGTATTCAAAACCATTTCTTTTTGATTGATTTCAACAACACAATATACAACAGAAAATTGCTTCACAAATGCAATTTAACAACCAACAACACAAGCAAGGAATTGCATTGTCACCTTCCCACATTTTGACGAATGTTACTTGTAATTTAATAATTTAATCTTCACTTATTAAGAATGATTATCAATCAATTAAAAACTAATTTTTGACATTTTAATTTTGATAGAAATTGTCAATTCGAAAATTAATTTTTTTTATAGATTTTAATTCTTACTTACTTTTAATTAGTCTAAAGTAAAATCGTTATTGCAGTACGTAATACTTAAAAAAACAAGTCGATAAATTAATTGAAAAAGGAAAAAAATACCAACAACACCTAAAACTACAAACAAAAACACAAATATTAATAAATTAGGGGGAACTTACAATTTCATATCGTCGTGAATTTCCATTTTTCCCGTTTTATTTCCTTCCAAAATAGTCACGAAAGAAAAAAACGATAAATAAACCTCTAAAAACCTAAATCGAAATCAAGGTTAGGTATTTAACGTAAACGTCATCTGTCAAATCGAAAAACGAACGTCAATATGCAAGGTAGCCAATATAATAAAAACGTTCACCTTAGTTACTAAAAAAAATTCTATTTTATTTAATAAAGTAATAAATGAAATATTCTTTTAATTTCACTTTGAAATAACATTTATTATTTTTACAAAGTTCTTTTAATATATCTTATCATTAAATTCAATCATGATTAATTTTTTTTTTACTTGGTTTGCGATTACTTGACAACTAAACGTCAACAATCTAAACATAACCTCAAAAATAAATACACAAATATTAATAAAAAAATTAGATGTTTTTGAGTAAATTGTTTAGTAAAATTGTAATGTAGTATGTCATCTCGGATTATCGGGCCGAAAATGGCTAGGGCTGAAGCGTTATGCACCCAATCTTTGTTGGAAGCTGGAGAACGACCCTTGGAGAGGCCTTTAGTGGAACCTGGGGATGTAAAAACCCAATTTGTGACTAGAGAGGGTACATATCGTTTGATGACTCTTAGTGAATATTCCCGACCTAATCGTGTAGGATATCAACCACAAGGACAAACACCACCACAAGTACAAATAATTTTTTTAAAATATTTTCTTATTAATTTTTTTATTTTCTTAGGTAAAAGTCTCATTAATAAGTCTACCAGATGCAGGAGAGCGAATATGTTTTAATTACGGCCGAGAACTTTACGTTTACGTTTATAAAGGTATTAAAAAAGCTGCTGATTTAAGTAAACCTCTCGATAAAAAAATCTATAAAGGTACAAGTCCTACTTGTCATGATTTTAATAGTTTTGAAGCAAATGGGGATTCAATTTCGATTGTTGTTGGATTTACTTCCGGTCAAGTCCAAGTTTTTGATCCTTCTATGAAAGATTTAAATAAACTCTTCAATGAGGAGCGACATATTGATAAAACTCGAAGTACTTGTGTCAAATGGGTCCCAGAAAGTAAAAATTTATTTTTATCAGCACATTCAAATGGTTATTTGTATTTATATAACCATGAATTAGCATGTAATAGTAGTCAAATTCCTTCTTATCAACCGTTTAAATCAGGGGATGGTTTTTCTGTGAGTTGCTCAAAAACGAAATCTAGTCGAAATCCGTTATTTCGTTGGACAATTGGGAATGGAGCTGCTATAAATGATATGAGTTTTAGTCCAAATGGAACTTATTTAGCTATTGTATCACAAGATGGGCTTTTAAGAGTTTTTCAATACAACACAATAGAATTAGTTGGAACTGCTCGGTCGTATTTTGGAGGACTTTTATGTGTTGCTTGGTCTGGAGATGGTCGTCTTTTAGCTGCTGGTGGTGAAGATGATTTGATTACGATTTATTCGTTGGAACAAAAACGAGTTATTGCTCGAGCTCAAGGTCATCATTCTTGGGTGTCAGCGGTTGCTTTCGATGCAAAATTAGAGGCGGAATCGAATTATCGAATAGGATCTGTTGGACATGATACACAACTTTGTTTGTGGGAATTACCAGAAGAGGCTTTATCACCACCAAGACAGAGGGTTAAAAGAAAACCGGATCCTTTACAATTGGTTGGGACCCCAATGTGTCCTCGATTGGATGAGTGCCCTCTTTTGGAGCCATTGGTGTGTAAGAAAATAGCCCATGAAAGATTGACTTCTATTATTTTTCAACCTGATTGTATTTTAACTGCTTGTCAGGATGGATATGTTTATACTTGGGCAAGGCCTCCAACTTGAAATTATTTCTTTTATTAAAATATAAAATATTCTTTATTATCACTTTCAGTTTACAATTAAAACCACAATAGCTATAATATATAATATACAACTTACATCCTAATCCAAGCTGTCCCCCATCCAGGAGGAGATACACACTCACTTCATACCACCCTCTCTCATATCGTTTCCTAACAATCCCCAAACAGTCTACAGATCCTTTTCTTTTCCGCACCTAAATCGCGTTATCATACTTTCCCCAAAATTTCCTCCGTGTTTTGTTTAACACATTATTATTGTATTGCCTGAGCATGACGTTATCCACATCTCTATCTCTACCCTTTAACTCCTTCCACAGTGATAGCGCAATATCGGCTGCGTTTGGTGGGTGAGGCAATACCTCCTACTCCGATTCATTAATTTTATCCACACTTTGTTTTGTGCAATGCGTGTTGCAAAATAACGCCTTTTCTGTTGACGATTGCTTTAGTTTTTAAATAAACATTGATTTACTCCATACAATTGTTCACAGTAAAGATCTGCATTAACGGATTGTCCAGGTTTTAACTCTTCAAAATAAACAACCATGCAAATACCCCACAAAACTTTGTGTGTTTTGAGCACCTTTTTGAAGTTTAATCCTGGCTTCGCTATTCGTGGCGATTCATTCGGAGAGAGCCACTGCTATTTGCATTTTGGATTATCATCCAGGACTTATTTTTCATCTGCAATGACCAAGCGATCAAAAATTTTTTCTGTATTATATCGTTGAAGCAATAAGTTGCACGTAATGGATCGGATAGCTGTCCTAACATCTACATCCTGTTTATCGCCTGCTCCCTTAGATCACTACACCCTCTCAGCATGTATTCCAGCATCTCGCAATCCTCTCCACATCGTCCGTCCAGTACCTGTTCCCTCTCTGCTTATTGCCACAACGGAATGTGGCCACCAATCTCTTCCCTTCATGATCCCCCTTCATCAACAGATATTTTGGCAGTTCCTCTGTCACTATATCCCCATACCTTACATTATTTCGCCCTTCCCGTATCTGTGACCTTCTTTCCTGCCTCTATATGTCCCTCTCCCTATCTTTCAGTTCTCTCCACATTTCACCTCTCTCCACTCTTCTGTTATCGATTCCAGTTAGTGAATATCTCACTCTCCTATAATATCCTTCCCTATCTCTCTGCCCATATATCAGCCTCCTCTCCTTAAATTCCCTCCAGCAGTCTCCCATGCTCCTACAATGCGGCCTTCCTTCTATCATTTCCTCGTACCTCACTGCTCTTCTCCCAGCCTCCACCCTTACTGTATCCACCTTAACCTGCTCCCTCACTATATACCCTGGAGTCTCTCTCGTCAACCCTAGTACCCATCTCCAATACGTTGTTTGTACATCCTCCAGCAATCCTTGTTCTCTCCATCCCCATACTTCTGCGTCGCATATCATTGTGCTCCTTACCAAGCCCTCAAACATAACCTTTCTTTTTCCCACATCCCTCTCAAAAGTTCTCTCCCTCCAAACCTGTCCCATCGCCCTGTTCGCTCTTTTTGCTATCGCTCTCACGTGGGACCTTATTACTTTCCGAGAATCCCGAGGATAGCTTTGTTTTCTTCCACTAAATTGTGCAGAACCCAAACACCTGCTCTGTTTACTTTACTAATCTAATACAAACACAATACTGACACGAATTTGCTTCCACTTCCGTCCTTAATACGTCATTGTCTAAAGTTATTGGTCTTCCTGATCGATACGAGCCGGAAAGGTCAAAATTATCGTGTTTGAACTTGGAAAACTACCTATGGCATTTAATGCATTTGGATAAATATCGCAAAGGGTTTTGGTAGCAACTATAGCAACGAATATGTACCTCTTCTAGTATTTGGCTAGATATTCCACCATAAATTGCAAATCTTTAAGAATTAATTATTTACGAGTAAAAAGTCACTCTAACATTAAAATTTCTTTAACACGACTTTGTAGTATCGACATATATATAATCAAATATCGACATGCGTAGAAACGACATACTTTCCGTACCCTTAATATTTCTGCTATTGAGTACTCTGATATAATATTCTTTCCTTTCTTGTTCACCCTAACCTTAACCTCCCTCTAACACCCCCAAAATTTTAAAATCACTGCTTTTACCCTTATCTCCAGTTTCAACTCCTCTCTCACTATACAGGTGTTTCTGAAATGCGTGTACAACGCAAGACCACAAATTGCATTGGCTCAAAATAGGTCAATTTAACGACTTAAATGATAAGTTAAATTCGAAAATGGGTAAATCAATTTAAACCATTTTTCAGAAGTGAATTCCTATGTTCAATTAACATCTTTTTATGGTTTCCGATACAATTTTAGAAACACAGAAATGTCATGTGTCCAGCGGATATTATCCCATATTTTTTTTACCGGTGAGGTGACAATTACATTATTATAATTTGTTAGTAGCCCATTTAGATCTGAAACATTTTTGTCTCTTATAAGATATTGATTACGTAAGTGGTTAAGCCACAAAAAGGCATTTTTAAATATTGGCATGCCTTGTTACAACGTCATTGCAATACAAAATTTCATCGTAGTTGGCACTGTTTTAAGATGCAACTTTGGATATAGATAACTTAACTTAAATCGACCTATTTTGAGCCAAGCAATCTGTGGTCTTCCGTTGTACACGCATGCTGGAGACATCTGTATATCTCGTAGTCTTCCTGTTCAACCCACCTCCAATATCTCTCCTAGATCTCCTCCACCATCTTGTGAATGTTTTGTATTCCTTTTACGTTTTCAACCTTTCGTCCAAGTATACCTGGGTATATTTCATATACAGTATTGAACAAGTTTATGCCTCTATAATTTTGTTTAGATTCTCTTTTCTTTTTTTTTGTAAAGCGGGCGTATAACTCTGACCTGTCACTGCCAAAGGAATTGCTCGCCTCTCCAAATCCTATTCAACCTTTCAGCAATTTCTCTATAATATCCTGTTATTTCCAGCTATGCTTCATTTCGTAAACCATCCTCTTCTGCTTTTCCTCTTTTCAACCGCGTAAGTATCCTCACCTTTTCCCCATCTTGATTTCCCCTACAGCTTTTTCTCCCATCTCGTACCTGGTTTTTTCCTCTGCCGGTCCTCACATCATTTCAGCAATTGCATTAACTGTTCTTTCCAACTACTCATAGACATCTTGCTACTTATCTCCTCCTACTTCATTCTCTTTCTGTTTATGGTTTTTGATACCTAATTTTCATTCCTGATCGTATAGATTTCTGCCTCTTCCCTCTTTCTATCCTCTACATACGTCTTTATATTTCCTCTTTGCTTCTTTGTATTCAGTATCCGACGCATTACTTTTTCTCCACCACCTCGTCTCTCTTCTTGTCTCATAGTATTCATTATCCCACTACTCGTTTCCTTACCCTCTGTGTCTTTGTCTACACTTATATTCTCTATTCACCATTGCTTCTTTCATAACCTCTATCATCTCTTCCGTACTATCCATTCGTTCTATCTTCCAATGATAATTTCTCAATCTTTCTCTGTACTTTTTTCTCCCATGTTCTGACCAGTCGTACTTTATCATGTCTTTCATTTTCGTCCGTTCACTTATCCGCCCCTTCATCCCTCTTTAAATCAACTTGCAACGGTTGGTGATCTGAATTTACAAATTCCCCACCCTGATCTTATCTACCTACTCCCATGTTTCCTGATCCACGACCACACAATTAATTACTGATGCCCCTTTTCCGCTGGTATAAGTGTACTCTCCCCGTCACCTTCTTTTTTAGTCCCGTTCAACATCTCCTCTTCTCTCTTCACCAATACGTGCATTAAAGTCCCCTTAATATTCCCCTTTGTTGCGAACACCCGCCACGTTCCAAAACACCACCCTTACTATCTTATCTTCTTATCCGTTTCGATGTTTCCTTTACCCCCTTGTTTTTTGCTAGTGTTTTTTTTTCACACTTCCTCACTCTGTTTCCGCCCTTTACCGTCATAATCAATACTACGCCTTAGCATGTCAATGGCTGCCTGGTGTTCTCCGCAGTACTTATCCCTGCTTAAATGTCTGGATTCCCTTCCTCTCAACTTATCATTCCTTCCTTGTGTACTCTTTATATCCATGCCCTTTTTTTTCCGCAGTGGCTGCAAAACATGTTCCTGACATTTGTAACACCTCTTTACATTGAACTAACTCAATGGAGTTCTCCCTCGTCACCTCTACTACATAGTTTGTTACATCCCTATCCTTCCTCCCCGTCTTGAAAATCACCTTCACATCCTTTTTAAACTCTTCCCAGGTTATTCTCAGCTCACCATCATTCACATTCTTCTTCCATATTTCTTCTAGCATTGGCCTTCCTACATTTTCTTTTCCACATCACACATTATAATTTTTGGTCTTGTCATATTACGCACTCTCACCGTCCAGTCCTCAAACGTGTTTTTTTTAACAATTTTCATATTCTTTTTCGAATCTCTCTGGATTACCAATCTGTTGACCTTCAATTCCTTTTGTTTCAGCCTCGTTAACACTTTTCTTCTCACCTCCTCACGTCAGCTACTCTTTCTTTAACAATTACATTGATTTGGTATCTGTTCCTCAGCTATTGCAGTCTCCGTCCCCTGTTTTGAGTTGTAGTTTTATTACTACATCTTCGACTTTCACCTCCCTATTTATGTTAGTCCCTGTTAGTCCTCCAATTTATCCTTCAACATTTTTCCCCCTACCAAATCTAACTCATAAATTCTCATCCATCTTTCCAGCGCCTCCAGTTCATCCAATTCCGGTCTCCGACACCGAGATGGCGTCGGTTATCTCGGTAAAATTCTCGCCGGTATAAAATTCATTCTGTGAAGTCAGAATGAATTTTATGAATTTCATCCGGTTCGATCCTTCGTAAATGTAAATTGTACCTTCCTGTCACTTTAACTCCGATGTAAAAGAAAAAATACAAATAATACAATAGGTCAAAAATGTCTATGATTGAAACTTGGATTTAAGATATCAAAACAATTCAATTCAACCATAAAAATAAATTTTAATGTACGTATTGTTTACATAAAGCTCTTAAAAACGTGGTTTTTCTATAGTTACTCGCCTCTCTTACAATTTCTTCATTATTATTCGAGTTCAATTCCAATAATCCAATACTTTCAATGGCTCGTTTCCTTCTTTGAAACTCTCCTTTTTTGTTATGTGTATGTATTAGATATTCTAATATATTTGTATCCCAAAAATAATTGTAATACGCATCCACTGCATCATTACACGATTTTTGTTCGGATAAATAATGAAACGCCGACAAATAATCTGGATTTTCTAAAAACTGGCATAAAACAGCCGCTTGCGTGTAACAACCCAAAGAGGCGCTACTTTTTATCATGCGACGAAATAGAAAATCGTCCGAACGAATTGGAATTATGAAGTATTCGTATGCCGTTATTAATGATTTTAAATAATAATTTAAAGCGTGTTCGTATTTTTCCGTTGCAAAATTTATATCACCCATTAATCTTAACCAAGATAGATTATGGGGGTAAAATTTTAAAGCTTGTTCAACAATTTGAGATAAAACTTCCGTTACAGTTTCACTACTGTATTGTAAGGGACTAAAATGAAATAAAATTATTAAAAAAGTTTAATTAAAAATAAAGTTTTTTTACTTACTTGCTTACAACGCTTGGCCAAAAATTAATATACTCCGTATTTAACTCCAAAGGGGCTTCATCTCTCAAAATATTATGAAGCTTCGCCAACAAAGAAATTACAACTCTCAAAGCAGTTCCATCTCTTAATCTCGTAAAAAACGATAAAATAATATTTTTTGTATTATTTATAGGCGAATCTCGATGTACGACAACCGAAGAACCGGACGCTGAACGTTTCGTTTGAGATGAAGAAGATGATGAAATAAAAGCTGGTAATGCTACAAAAAAAATTTTAAACCCTACTTATATTTCAAAAATTAACTTACTAAGATCCCATAAATCTTTAGGAAATCGTTTCTCTTTCTCCCCCTTAAATTTATTTAATTCTTGACAAGCCGAAATAATCGCTTTGGCAAATTCAAAGTAACTGACGCGTTTATCAAGTGCGTATAAAAAGTCCCAATAACCTAAATTTAATAGGCAAAGAACGCATTGTTCTATGACCTCTGTTCGGGGTAAAATCGAATCGTTTGTTTCCAAACAATTTTTACAAGCGGTCGCTAAAGCTTGTTTATCAATTTGTGGTGCTGGACATTCTTCTAATAATTGCGTTACTTCCACTAATAAAATTTCCCAGGTTAATAACTTGGCGAGTTTATTCATTTGAGATGTATCCGAATTGCAATCTTTTATTTCCGATTCTAAAGCTTTTAATAACAGAAGAGATGTTGACCAATCTTTTGCGATTATTAGTTCTCTTGATTTTGCCAAAAGTATAAAAGCGTAATCTTGTAGAAATCCTAAAAAATTATATTAAATTTTATTTCTTGAAAATGAACAATTAAAAATTAAGTATACCCCTTTGTAAACTGACGATGACACTTTGTAGAGGAATTGGTAACTCCCATTTTGGATTTAATTTCCAAACCGGTCGATTTGAATTTTTCATCGTTATTTTAACCAGGAGGTCTCTTATGTTAATCGGATCGTAATTCATTATTATTTGTTGTTCTAAAGCGCGTATTTCTAATTTTGGGTTTCCTGTAAGAAAGAATTGTCACGTAATACACAAAAATTTATATTTTTTACATCTTGGTTTGAAATTTTGTTCAAAATAAATGGCCAAGCGTGTAATATTTAAACGTTGGGTAAAAACTTTGATGCCATAAACGTTTTAGTGCTAGGTATTCGTGCTACCTAAGCTGTGACTTCATTATCTTAACGCAAATATAACCAACCATGCACATCAATGCAACTTTATATCTGTATGTTATTTAGGATTTTTAAGTTATCATGCAAAGTCGACAGTTTTTTTATCAGGTTTGAAAAGGTTGCTGAAATGAAGACTTTAAGAATTATCGTAGGCAAAACGAGAAGAGGCAAAAAAAAATATTAACATTCGGGAATTATGCGGGATACAGGATGTTGTACTGGAGCAGACAGCAAAAAAGAGAATGGGCGAGCATATTTTACCGCGTGTAGCAATGGAGGAAAAATCAGCAGGAAGCCGTCTACCAGGAAGACCAAAAAGATGGCACAACACCTGGTAGTCGACCTCCTAGGAGGTCCTCCGAAAACGACTCAAAATTAACAAACTCAGAGGACTTAGGAAAAGAACTTTTGTGCCTTCCACTAGTGACACGGTAAAGAATGACCACAATGAGCTGTGTATGAAAGTTTTGGTAACGTAGTATATGCTTCCAAGTAAATTGAAGCGCTATTTAGAAATAATCACCAAAGCATGGTTTGCAAATCTTACTTTTTTTTTTGTCAGGAAGTTAAAAGATCTCTTTTTCTAACGTAGAGCGCATAATATTACAATTACTCTGTTGACTAACGAGCAATTTTTTTTAACCCAACTTTAATAAACTTAAAATTAAACTAGAGTTTTACTCCCTAGTTTTCCAGTTTCCTGATTGCTATTAAACAGTTAGCTGGTTGTTGACCAAGAGTTAAGTGGCTTTCTCATTGATATGATGAAGTTTTTGTTCGTGCCAGAGATCGTATTTCTGAATCTCTTTTTTCACCATGATTACCCCAAGATCTTTGTGGAGGTTGCTATTCCGTATGTACCAAGGCGCATTTGCAATGTCGCTTAATAACTTGCTCATAAATCAGTAATCTTTTATTCATTGTCAGCACAGATTGTTTACTCTTGCGCCAATACATTGTCCTATATTTTAGTTCTAATTCAATCTTCTTCTATTTTACGTGCTCTTGCCATCGTAATTTTGCTTTCAAGGTTATGTCTAAATACTTGGCAGTATTTGCATATGAAATGTCATTGTTATTAATTGTCTTCAAGGGATGTTCTAATTTTTTCTTCCCTTTAAAAATTTTTTTATTTTCAAGTTATTTCATGAGTTAATTTGATGTAATGCGACCTGAAGTTTATTGAGAACTTCTTCAATGTTCTTTAAAATTTTATCCACAATAAGTAGTGGAGTATCATCTGCGAAGGTAGCAGTCACCGGTTTAGATGATTGGGGTGGATTTCTCATGAACAATTTTGGAATATTCATTTTCAAGTTTAACTCTGAACTACATATTTTTAATATAATCACTCAACAATTCATAGTACTATTTTGGTATTACAACTTTTAGTGTGGTTATAAGCCGTTGGTACCAGACTTTATCAAATGCTTATTCTACATCAAGAAAAATTTCGCATATATTTTCTTTTCTTCTAATGCTTTTTCAGTAACGTTGGTGATTTTATGCATTTGATCTTATATAGCTCTTTTTGTTTCTAGTGTTGAGGTTAAACATTTCGGAAATGATTTTTTAATAAGTTTAGATAAACTCGGAAGTAATGAAATTGGCCTATAGGAGCCGATCTTTGTCGAAGTAAACTATGTTGTACTTGTTGGAAGTCAACCATTAGGTTTTCAACTTCCTTTTCAAGTTGCCCTAAATTTTTTGAGATCTGAATTTTGTCAGATAGTTCTTCTTTACATTGATTCCACCAGTATACTTATATTAGTAGTTTTGGATTAGTTTTCCTTGCCTTCCAGATCTAGCCCGTTCCATCCGTGACCAAGATTTGAAGTGATTTTTTTTTCTGTCAAACAACTAGTAGGTAGGTTTTCCAGTTGAATGAAACTTGTACCCTTCTTGTATAGCTGCTTTGTATAATTTTGAGCAATTGTACACGAGCCCCAGAAAAAGAGGACGAAAATATACCAAAAAAAGATTAAAAACACCAAATCACTCGGGTTAGATACATAAATATGTTATTGAAATATGGAGGACAACAATTATTGGCAAAACTTACAAAGCTCTTCAATAAAATAGTAACTAAAGAAATCCCTAATGAATGCAGGAGCATAACCATATTTATGGAAGGGACAATAATAGGGGTCAGGAAAAATAGATAACCGTGGATGCCATCTTCATAATCAAGTAAGTAGTAGAGAATAAGGAAAACCTGTATTTATGTGTTTTCTAGACCTTACTAATGCGTTTGACAGGGTAAAATTAAACAACGTAGTAGATATCTTAAAACGGAAAGATGTGCCAAAAACGATAATAGATAAAACAATTAAACCTCATAGTCACATACCAGTTGATCAAAGACTGACAGAGGAAATATAAACACTAATCGGAATTCGACAAGGAAACTCAATTTGATTTCAATAAAATTGTCGTTATATCTAACAAGCCAGTGATTTGCAGACTTGCTTTGGAAAATAATGCAATAGAGCAAGATGTTAGTCAACTATCTAAGCATACAAAGTGCCTCATATCAAAATAGAATAAAAGAAGTAAAAAACCAAGCAAACAAAGCCAGCCGAATATCAGGCTCATTTCGGGACGTTTTCTGGAACAACACCTATATGCATAAAAAGGCAAAAGTAAGAATATACAAAACCTGTGTAATATACGATAACGAAATAAGAGCAGACAACAACAAAACGAAAAGTATCCTTCGAACATCAATCCTGCTACACAGAAAAAGAAACAGATATAAGACATAAATGTGAGGTGGAAGACATAATCAGATGGGGTCGTAAAGGACGTTGAAGGGGTTGGAATGATCAAGTGGGGAGAATAACCACAGACACAACGACTTTTAAGAGGACCTCCAAAGCGATGGATAGAATCATGGACATCAACATAATAATAATAATAAACAATATTTATTGGTTCACATAAGTCATAACAGTAAATACATTGGAAATAAACAAATTAAATTCGAAACAATGAACGAAAGAGAATTGAGTTCTCAAGAGAACTGATGAGTTGGAAATTAAAGACCTAAAGCTAAGTTTCCACATGCACGGATTACTGGCGCCAGTTTATTTACATGTGGAAATAGAAAAAAGCCACTGGTGCCAGTAATCATAGCGCCAATAAAGTTGACGGTACTTCTATTTTTTGGCGCAAGTAACATTATGTTTCTCAATCATTACGACAACTTTGTTGTCAGCGTTATGGCGCTAAAGTGAAATTTACTTATAAAAAAAACATAAAATGAACAAATCCGCTAATAAACCGCCAAAAAAATGGACATTAGAAGAAACAGTACTGTTTCTAGAAACGTATGAGCAATATTCTTGTTTGTGGAATTAGAAAATTCCACAATATAAGGACCGACTAGCACGAAATGAAGCTTGACATATAAATTTAGAAATTGTGCTTTTTGGCAAACGATACATATATTGCAAGGATGTAAAAGAATCTCCAGAGGCCAAAAATCTTAAAGTTGCTTGCAGTTTTACGTGAGCTGGAATGGCATCTCTCATATGCGTATGTTATTTTTGTATTTTAGAGGATACTTGCCTCAACAAAAACATGAAACTCTCTTCAGTCATTCTTAAATGATTAAAAATGCTTCTTGATCTTCATGGTATAATTCTCAATGCCAACAACTTTACTTTAAAATCTTGAGACTGTAACACATTTCTATCATAATAATGTTTCGATGCGCCCCGCATACTCATCTGCACTAAAACGTCTAATGTAATAAAATACCGATGATACTACTTCGTAGACGTTTTTTGTTGTATTCACACTTCATCCACGTATAAATAAATAAATTAGTGCTGATATTTTTAGAATAATCACAATCTTCTGGCTATATAAAACGTAAGGTTGATTGGTTAGAAGTTATTATATCACCCTGTGAAATGTTTATAATGTAATATTTATTCCACTTTTTAAACAAGGCAGTAAGAACGCCTATGCAGAAACTATAACATTATTCATATTGAAATTACAGAAAAACAAAAAAATGGATATTGGAAAACCCCAATCCAACCCTTTTTTATATAAACTTACACTTTATTTACATTTCATATACACTTTAAATAAACGTGTCTCAAGTAACTGGTTCGTTAGAAAACTTTTTTTTAGGTTCCAATATTCCTACAGTTTTAAAATTTTGGTACCAGGGATCAACAAAATACTTTCAAGATGGGCGCCACTTCCAGTCTAGCAACAGTAGATCACAACTTCGTTATTTTACATGGAATGCTACTGTTTTTATTATACTTTTTAAACGTATGCAAAAAATATGGTGACTTTGACAAGTTATTGATACTTAGCGTTTTTCGTTTTGAAGTTATTTTGTTTTAAGATTTTTTCGACAAATTTCCCCAGCCTCTTTAAAATCTTATTTCTCAGCTAACGTACATTCAAAAAAGTTTGAAATTAGCACAGTTATTCTTCAGAGAATAAATTGAAACTATCATCAGGTTTATTTTTTCTTATGAACGCCAATGTTTTTTTTCGTTTTACGAAAACGAAACGTCAGAAAAAATTTGTAGTTGTGTCATGACATTTTTCATAAAAAGCTGCCTAAAGAATGTTTTTCCAGATTTACGAAAAAACGAAAAATAAAGAAGTTATAGGCAAAAAACGAATAAGTCATTTCTTTGTTTTTCAGGCATATTTTAAAAACTAAAACGGTTAGATCCAAAAGTTAGCTGAAAAATGATGAGCTAAGATACGCAACTTTGCTCCCATTTAACCATTTCTGTATCTCTTATGGTTTCTGAGATCCCAATGGTGGGGGTCGAATTTGAATTACCTGTATAGGATGATTAAAAATTGAATCACTATATTTGCAGATTCAATGGCAAGAAATTCGAAAATTTTACCATATTTTATTAGCCTACCAGAAAGAGAATTTAATTCTCTACAAATCATCTATAAATATACCTATGGCGATTTATTGTAGTTTCCCTCATATTGTGAAATTTACAAAACATGCATGGAATGTTTTTTATAATATGAAGGCCGGAATATATAATACTGATGGCTTTTTGTAAGTATCATACAAAAATGCGAGAGAGTGTTAAAAAAAATTAATTTTCAATCACATTATCATGAATGGACTAGATAATTGCCCTCTTTTTAATGGAAGAATGGTTATATTTATCTCCTTTTCTGTTCCCCTCTATTGCACATAATTAATATCCATCTTGTTTTAGATCCAAAATGTTTCAAAGTGGTCTGATTTAATAATAACAACTATAGATTATATAACTCACGTTTAGACGTTAATTCTGGATAATCCCAACTTGAATTCTCCAACAATGAAGGAATTTTAATATCAGCAGAATGTTCTTCAAACTCAAATAAAATCGGATTATGGGCGATATCACGGAAAATTTCTTGCGATCGAAATTTTTTCAGAAATTCCGGCATTTTATTACTAACCGATAATTGAGCGAAATAAGCAGCAATGGATTGTTTTTCAAAAACACTTGAGAAATCCCACACAGCTGCAGCTGCCTACAACAACAAAAATAATAACACAATTACAACAAAACATTTCTTTAATTCACCCAAATTAAAAATTCTTGATTTCTTTCTGTGATATGCATGTATTTGTGTAATCCTTTTTCGTCAATAATACATCTAATTGTGTTTAAAGCATGAATTTTTGGTAACAAATCTCTAGCGACTGTAAATTTTCCACTTGATAAAGCACTTTGAATATCAAGTTCAAGATTGATTCTATAGGGTAAAGGAATTTCTCTATATTTATTATCTTCAACCAAAATATTAACAATACCCTAAAATGAAGTTTTTATGAAATATCTTATAAGAAGTATTAAAATTGATTTACCATGTAATGATTGGCAACACATATACTAAATAAGTGTAACAAATTCTTATTAGATTCTTCAGGTGAAGCTTGACAAGCCATTAAATAACCTTGTAATTCTTCAACATTAAAATACATAAAACCAGTTGATGTTTTTACAAAACGATAACAATCCATGGCGCTTTTAAAGTGATTTTTAGCCAAATCATAATTTTCTTTGTAAAAGAAAAAACAACCTAATTCATAATGAATTTGTGCGTCATATTCGTATTTAGAAATTTGTTCGGCTTGATCCCAAGTGTGTTCGATATCGTCTGTATCTTCAGATAACATCACAAAACATTCGTAATTTAACATCGGTGGTGATTTTTCCCAAGATAACGATTCAACTAAGAATTGTATACATCTTTGAATATTTTCTTCCGTACAAAAATAATTTTCTTCCATTGTCATTTCACCATTAGGTCTTAAATTAATAAATTCATTAATAATATACAGGCTGTTTACGGTCTTGTGATTTTATTTTCAAGGGGAAATCGAGGAAAAAATGAGATAAATAGAAATAGATCGTTTCTACATTTTGTTAATATCGAAGAATAAAGATTTGTCAAGGAGTATTTGCAAGTATTCATGGTATTAGCTTGGAACGAATTAATAGAATTAAGCGTTTACGTGTGAATGATGAAGTGTCTTGTGATAAACGGGGTACAAATATTAAAGGAAATGCCATTGAAGAAAGTGAAAGAGAACTAGTTAGAACTCATATCTTGTCATTCCTAGTTAAAACATCTCATTATTCTGGAAAGGAGTTCAAGTATCTAGATGCACGGCTTAATGTAAAAATAATGTACGAATTGTTTCTTAAAAAATTTCCAGACAAAAAAATTAAATACGGTTACTACATTAAGTTCTTTCATGACAATTTTAATTTGCATTTTGGCCGTCCCCAAGTAAACGCATGCAACAAGTGTGAGGAATTAGCCCTCAAAATCAAGAGTCCATCTAGGAGATACTGCAAGAAGAGCCGCTGTTGCTGAAAAGCTTATTTATGAAAGACGAGCGAAGAAGTTCCAATGCTTCAAAAACAATTGCAGACGAATTGAAAGAACGGCGAGATCTTGCAGCTATTGCATTTGATTACATGCAGAATCTACAACTGCCACAGATCCCTATACAAGATCTCTTTTACCTATCTCAATTAAGTGTAAGTGCGTTCACGACTTAAAGACAAACAAATAATTTTTTTATATTTACCATGAGGGTGTAGCTGCAAAAGGCCCTAATGAAGTCACTATATTTATAATGGAGTATATAGAAAAGTATGTTTCTTTTGATGTAAAAGAACTCCGATTGTTTTCTGATAATTGTCAAGGGCCTTGTAAGGGTCAATGGCCTTAACTGAAAGTGGAAGATGTTAAAAGGTGCAGCACCCTTTGCGAGGATATTCTTTTTGCCCTGTGACAGAGTTTATGATGTCCATACATTCACTGAATTTATTATAACTTCTAGTGCCAAAAACGCTTTTACTGTAAAGGAAGTTACAACAGAAGATATCATAGATTATTAAAACTGGTGGCCAAAATACTACAAGCCTACATGTGCTTTTGATGAAACTGAAAGACATTCTAGAAATGAAAGAATTTTGTCAAAATTTCACCATTTTGTTCAACAAGCAATAAATCCTGGCGTTGTTCAAGGTTAGTGAATATATTAATGGATTCATTTGGAGCACCTTTAAGCTGACTCATCCCAAAAGAGCCAAGAATATCCAGATACAATTGCCAAAACAAAAAGCTTGGATATAATAATAACTTACCAATCTTAGAAACAAAACTCAAAAATATCAAAACATTGCTTCAATGGGTAGAGGACGATTATAGTAGTATATTAAAAAACAAGTTTCGTAAGACACGTTTGAAATACACGAATTCAAGTTTAAAAACGAGTGGCGAAGCCACGAGTTTTTTAATGAATGACTGCTTTAAGTCTTATGAAACGTGTTTTTTATGCTATTTTATCCGTTTATATATTTATTTATACAGGGTGATTTATAACATACGGAGCAGACTAAAAGAGTAGGTACTGGAGGTAAAACTGAAGAGATTTTCTTAATAATGTTTTGTTAAAAACTTAATAGTTACATAGATATCGCATGTTAATTTTTTAAATAATTTAACGTCCATTTTTTGTGAACCGCTGATATTCAGTAAAGAATAATTAAAATACTTGTCCGTTGCTAAGTAACCAAATCAACTGGATTGGCAGCAATAAAAACATGGTATCAGCGGTTCTCGATAAACAAACACCACCGTTTGAGCGTTTTAACAAATTTTTAAATAGCCGTAACTGCTATGTTATAAAGATTTTATTATTTTTATTAATTATGCATTGTTTAAGTAACCCCGAAATATTCGCAGTTTGAATTTAAGCGTAGTGTAATACCGTATATGGTAAGAAATGCTCGGCCATTACTTCAACTTTAACGTTCTATATCTTTGTGATTATTAAGTTGTGGTCAAAATTTTATTAGAAAAATATCTTCAATTTGGCTCCTAGTACCTACCCTTTTAGTCTGCTCCGTATGTTATAAATCACCCTGTATATACAGGTGAGTTATTAGTATCCCGGTGGACGATAGTTAGTAAACCGTTTGAGAAAGACAAAAATGTTTTATACAAATGTTGCTTGACTCACCACTTTCTATTACGTAAAATTATTTTCACTTATACAGGTTGTTCCATTTAGCCGTAACGAAGAGTATGAAATTTTTTTAAATTTTTTTTTAAATGGAACAGCCTGTATATTTGATCATATTATGAATATATTTAAATTTGTTTATACAACCGTATATGTTCCTAACTCATAGCGTTCATAGTTCCTGGGATATTCAATTGTTTTTCCAAAATGTGTCCATTGCAGAATCTTTTTAAAAACGATGTAAAAACAACAGTTTTTCCAATTTTGCCTTGAAATTATGTCAGATAATAGTCAAAGCCAGTAGGTAAATGATAGTATCCAAAGATATTAGATACGCTATACAGCGTGTTCATAAAGCTTAGTTACTTTTGATGTTTTTCAAATGGCTCTTTCATAAGTTTTTTAAATGGAACATCCTGTGTATTGTATTCTGATTGAATTGCCTATCAAGTTACCTTTAATTAATGATAACTATGTCATATATCTAACTTTAGTAGTTTTCCTGATATTTAGAATTTGAAGCATAATGTGTAATAAAATATGCATTATTATACTTAATATTATATTCTGTCTATTTTTATCAGTTTTTTTGTTCTTCCTTTTATTATTTGATTAATATTTTATAATGTAAAATAATTTTGCTGCCATATACCAGATTTTAATGCGACTTGGTACTTTATGAGATTTAAAAAGATGTAGGTAATAAAATATGCAATTGTTGCCACATAATTTACGAATTTAGAGAAAATAAGATGTACATGTTAAGAGATACTTCAAGATCTTTTATACAGCTCATTAATGCTTGTAGAAGAGAAAATGGGCGGCATTTTGAACAACTTCTGCATATTAATTAAATTAATAGTTACTTGTTGAGCAACGTTTAGTAATTGATTATAGTTTGTTGGTGCATTTCCTTCAAATAATTTAGTAATTAAAGGATTTATTGTTCTGCCATTTAATTGTATTTTTATCACGTTGTGATTATATATTTATTAAAGTTTTTTTTTAATTGTATTTTAATATAATATCCCTGATTTACAAATGACAGACAAACAAAAAAAATGTGACAAAAAAAGGACAGAATATACATTCTGTCACTTTTTTAAGTACAATAGTGACATTTTATTACACATTTTTCAATTCAACTAGCACACAATATACAGGATGTTCCATATAAAAAACTTAAGAAAATGCCATTTGAAAAACATCAAAAGTAACTAAGCTTTATAAACACCTGTATAGTGTATCTAATATCTTTGAATATTATCATCTACCTACTGGCTTTGACTATTGTCTGACGTAGTTTCAAGGCAAAATCGGAAAAAAAAAATACTGTAATGGGCACCTTAAGGAAGAACAATTGAATATCTCTAAAACTATGAACGCTGTGAAATAGTAACATATACGGTTGTATAAACAAATTTAGTGGTATTCATAATATGATAAAATATACAGGTGTTGAGACAGCCTGTATAAGTGAAAATAATTTTACGTATAGTTCGTATTTTTTCTATAATACTTGTCAATGTAAATTTTTTAGGGTTTCTGTTGGTATTATCTAGGACCCTTATAAAATTTACGTTATTTTCCTGATTTTTAGTAACATTTTCAGTAACTAAATAGTTGAGGTTAAAATACTAATAAATTTGTAGATAAATACGATTTTAACGAAGTACATATTTATTGTAAAAACGTGCTAAAAAGTAACTAAATAGAACAAAACACCTTTTCTAGGTAAGTAAATGGCAAATAAACACCCCACAACATTTTTTATGCACCTTTTCTTTTGGAATAACGAAAGCTCAAACGTCAGTGTGACGAATCTATTTCAAAACATGATAAAACAAAATTCCTTGTTAATTTTGCCAACTTTACAACAATTTGACAAGTATTATAGAAAAAAAATGAACTATATAATAGAAAATGATGAGTCAAACCACTTTTGTATAAAATATTTTTTTTTGTTTTTCAAACGGTTTAGTAACTGTCGACCGCCGGGATACTAATAACTCACATGTATATAAAAATAAAAGAAATTTTGGCAATGTAGAGAAATAGGTATGTAGCAGTTGGTAACACCGTAACACTTGAAAATAGAAATTTGAATTGACAATTAGAAATAGTCAAAGCACAAAATGTATTCATCTGGAAAAAAAATTTGATGTACACCTCAAAAAATAAGAGAAATTGCTCAGAGTTCAATGTCCTCATCATTGTGGACCTTGTATTCGATGCTAAGAACGTGTTTAAACATCCTTAAACAAAAATTGTCACATTGACAACTAGAAAAATGTGTCACCCAAGGTCTATAGAACATAAGGTTACCCAATGCCGATTCTCCTCCTCTGAAAGGCAAGGTGGTTCAGTGACGTAGCTGGTTCTATGAACAACACAACACAATGCGAGGTTTAAATATTTTATATAGACTGTACCACAGTATAGGCTATCTTTTACTCAACTTTTTACTCTGACTGTATCGAACCAGTGACGTCAATTTGCGGGGTAATAATCGATACTACAGAGCCATAGGGAATTAGATAACCTTATGTTCTATAGACCTTGTGTGTCACCAACTTGAACTGGTTCCACAAAATGTTACTAAAATCTCATTACAGCATCGAATGCTGTAAGGAGTCTCATCACAGCACCCGTTTGAGTACTGTAATAGCTTTCATTGCCGTCGCGAATTACAAAATAGTTATTTATGTACCAAGTCAGCAAAGTGATGCTTTATCGAACGAGTCTGAGTTTGCGAGTCGAGCGAGCGAGGCGAGTAACAAGCGAGTTCGATAAAGACACTACATATCAAAACTAATACCAAATTATTATTTATCGACTTAAAAAATGATAATATACCAATTTTCATGTTCATAATTTAAAAGAAAGCGAAATTATGAAACAAAAATAAAAATATAATATTAACTTTATCTATATCTTCGTTATTATTAACGATTGGACTAAGATAAATTGGGTTAAATTGTAATAATTTAACATAAGGAATTTACTGTTGCTCTATGTCCCATTACTAATGAACCACCCTGTATATATCTTTTAAGATATTTAAGCACCCCTTGAATATAAAATTACAAGACCATAAACACCATGTATATCTTAATGTTATTCTTACCTTGGTGGTGGCATTTGGCAAAAAACTCTTCGCATAGATAAACAAATTAACCATCGATAATAAATAACAAGAGAGAATTTGTGTTGTGGTGATATTGTATGTGGATTGTGTTCTTCTAGATTTGGTAATTCAACAGATATGTGATTATGAGTGAAATATATAAGATCTTGTAGAACGCTTACTTGAATTTTAAATGGTAGAGCCATTAAGGAAACTAATCAAAAGTAATTTTAAAACTTGTAACTATTAAATTATTAAAACCTTACCGATATTCCATTTAATATAAGCAGCAACTTTAAGTGATAATATTTTCAATGCTATATTTTTTTTCGAATACCTATTAGGAATATCAGGATTGTTTTCGTTAAGTGGAACATTAATTCCTTCGACACCTTCCATTTCAACTCTCCTAGCTTCATTTTTAAACGATTCAAAAACGGCGATTGTGAATTTATTAATTAACTCAATAGGTGAAGGATCTTAAATGAAAAGTATTAGAAATAAATACTAAGAAGTAATTTTGAGGTTATTTCACCTGGATTAGGTTTTTGAAGATGTTGTAATAAAAGTTCCTTATTAAGTAAAAATTCAAACCAAAGAACAGTTTCCGGATTTATAGGAACCGTCCCCGGTCGCAATAAATCAACATCCATTATTAAATTTAAAATTATTAAATGCTCTTTTCTCAAATTAAAGTTGTTTGGGAAACTTAAAGGTTATGTTATGTATTCTTTGACGTTTCCAGTAAAACGCCAACTTAAAAAATCGAAATTCACCATTTTTGACATTTGATAAAAGTCAAAATTGTCGAAAATGAAAAATTGTAAACATTCTTTTGTTTCAGTATCGGGGTGAAGACCTTTCTGGTATATTTTCTTTTTAATTACTTCAAAATTGTTGTTCATTTCGATCAAAATTAATCGTGTAAATGTCCCGGTGTCTACCTTACATATGTGTTCTGGATATCGAAATTATGTAATAAATTATTTATTCGCATCGACCTAAATGGACGAAGTGGTATTTCGAGCATCTGAAACCATTGACAGCTTGCAGGTTAGAAATGTGACATCTTAACCTCAATTTTGGTTTTTTTTAATTTTTTGCCACTTTTAGCATCATCTTCGAGTGGCTGCTGATGAAGGTAAAGCCGCTATTGTTAGTACATCCGGAAAATTATCAGACGTTTTCGTTCAAGCTTTAAACAATGACCGATACTTAGAAATTAAAGATGGTGTTATTCGATATTTTACACTTCTGTTTTTATATGCAAATGACATACAAGAGTACATAGTGGAGAGGTGTAACCCCGCTTACTTATACGAAAAGATATCATGGATTTTTACATCAAATGGTTTATTATATATTATATTTAAAAACAAAGATTGCTTATTTAATTTATTTCTTTTTATAGCAACTAAACGAGATGTGTTAATAGGTGGTACTGGAATTATTGTTGGATTTGCTATTGGGTATTATACATCAAGAGTATATTATCCCAGTAAACAATATTTAGGACGATGCATGCAAGCTGTACAATGTTTAAGATATTCAGGTTTTGTGGTAAGGAAAATAATTTTTCTCTTTGTCAAAGTGATGCTTAATGTAAAATAATTTTAGTCTGCAACTGTGGTAGATGATGCAATTGGTCCAACATCCTGTGAAAGCAATCAGGTATTAATAGATGTTAAAGCTTGCTCATTAAATAAGATAGATAAAGAAATATGTCATGGATATGGTTCTAGGATTAGAGGTTTTCTAATTAAAAATTTTAAGGTAAGTTAAATGATGTATGGAAATGTGTGAGCATATTTTTCTATTTCCTTTTATTAATGTTTTTTTAATTAGTGAGTTCATAGCTTTGAGTTTCATCCTTGTTTATATGTGGATGGCTCCATTGATTGTATGCGACTAGTTAAAGATTAACATATTGAGTGACTAGAGATGGAAAATTCTTGAGAAAAAAAAATAGGAGAATATTCTCGATTTTAAGATCACATTTATGGGAGTGATTACTATGGAGGACTTATTTATGACGTTTAGAATATATTTAGCATAAAAAAATAATTTAATCTTTGAAACAAATAACAAAAAAAACAAGTATTCTTCGAATCTAATGAATTTTCAGATAGCTCTTACAAAGTTTCCAAATCACTGCATTCTATCCCTACAATATCATAAAGGTGTTCATTGCCTTCATTAACCTCCACATAGGTGGTAGAATCTAATAATTTTAAATTATGAGCAATGAAAGTTATTTTACCAGCTGTTTTCCATGGATGTTAAAACATTTTTCCAAATAACTCTTCTTTAGATCGTTAAAGGGCCAATTCTGCCATTACCTCTGCAGACTCATCTGGATTTGTTACAGTAGCCATATTGTCTATAATCTCTTTTCCCTGTATTTGTTCTACTCTATTAAGATGAATTCCATTAAAATTTGGATCTAAAATATTTGTTGCAAGATGGATTGGATTTACTTCCATTTGCTTTCTCTTAAGTAAATAGTTTTTTTACTTCCCTTTCTTCTTGGTTAAGCAAAGGGCTTGAGGAAAGAGCTGTTTCAAAATAACTTTCCAACTCGTAAATACATTCAACTAATAACATACAGTTTAACCGTGATTTATTTCATACCAGTTTTTTTGAGTATTTAACAATAGGGTTTATTAGGTGATAAAAGTTTGAACCATTTACCCAAAAATATCCTCATCCAATATCAACTTTGGAACTGGGTATATCTTCAACTGTTTCACAAACTGCTAATGTTTTTAATGCATATTTTATGTTAGTTCTAGTGATAGTGCTAGTGTAAAACTAGAGCTAACGCAGTTAATTTTAAGGAAATGATTCCTTAAAAGCTTGTTTTATTTTATTTCAGTTGGGTTATGTATTTAACAATGGGGTTTATTAGGTGATAAAAGTTTGAACCTTTTTTCCAAAAATATCATCATCCGATATCAACTGCCAACGTTTTTAATGCATATTTTGTATCAAGAAAACTTTTTAAACTATGAATAATTGATCCTCATCGTGTTGCACAGGTAAAAATATGCAACATAATGATATTTGATGCTAACTAGCGCTACCTACCACCTACCAGCTGTTTTAAGAGAGGTATGGCTAAACGGAATGTTTCTAGTTCTAGGTCTTGTGTTAGTTCAAGTGATAGTGTTAATGCAAAACTAGAACTAACACAGTTAATTTTAAGGAAATGGCTGCTTTGGTATAATTTCTTTCATTTTACATTTTCTTGAAAGTAGCCAATAAAATGTGAGAATTGTTAATTTCTTTAATGACAGCCTTAACATCTTCCATAATAGTATAGACATGGTTTTCATTTTTGAAGTGTCTCCAATTAACAAATTCAGTTTATACCAAGGATAGTAGAATCTAACAGGACTGTTACATCCATTGTTGTTTTGTAACCCACTATAGGTTGGTTGCCCGCACTCTATGTCACACTATTTGCCACGCCCAGTTAACTGTCATTGAGTTCTATGCGTTTGCTGTGTACTTTTGAAGTTAATATGAATGCGTCTACGATATAACCTTTAAAAATACACAGAAAACGCATAGAACCAATGTCTATAGAACATAAGGTTACTCAATGCCGATTCTCCTCCTCTGAGGGGCAAGGTGGGTTAATGACGTAGCTGGTTCTATGAACAACACAACACGATGCGAGGTTTAAATATTTTATATAGACTGTACCATAGTATAGGCACGTATAGGCTATCTTTTACTGTGACTGTATCGAACCAGCGACGTCAATCTGCGGGGTAATAATCGATACTACAGAGGCATAGGGAATTAGGTAACCTTATGTTCTATAGACCTTGGCATAGAACATAATAACAGCTGACTGCGTGGTAAATGGTGTGACGTAGTGTGCGGGCACGTTGTCACAACAATGGATGTAGCAGTCCTTGGTTTATACCTTTCTTCTTTTATACTTTACTGGCATTGTCGGTTATTACAGCAAAGAATTTTTCATTGCCAACTTCTCTCAATTTCATCGATTTTTCAAATATCGTTATGTCGACAAATATTTGTTTCCGCAATTTAAGCGGCAGTTTTTTCTACCAAAACTAGGTTAAATAATGGAGGTAATCCAAGGCCCTAGAAAGTTTTGATGTAACCACTCCTTAACGGTATTTGTACAATGAGGTGTCGCCCCATCATGTAAATACCACATCTGAAGTTTTGTTTCATATGAAACATTGTCAATAACTCCTTCAAATTTTCCAAGTGTTCCAAGTAACTATACACCATCAAGTCTGGAGGGTGAAAAAAGGGTCGGATAATGAAATCACCAAATATTTATTTATGAGTTTTTCTCAAATTAATGCTTAAGTATTTTAAAAAGGTAGACTCATCTGTAAGATGTATGTAAGAGAAGGGGAGGGAGGCAAGCAACGCACACAGCACTTATAAAGATGTGTGTTTACCTTACAGTGACCTGTAACAAATCTCGTAATAACCCGTAAGGCGCTCTTACCCAGCCTTACAAATTTCTGTGCTTCGTCAGCTGAGGGATAAAATAATAACCGCTTAGCTAATTGACACCATTTAACTCTATCCCAAGAGTGAAGGAACTTTTTGCGGGTTAGGCTTTTGATTAACTCAATAGGAGATACCATAGAAGGGACAATTGTCGGCAAAGGGGAACAGGGCACTTTCCCAGCAGCCCTTTTTGCCAGCCTATCGGCGTGCTTTTTGCCCGAGTGAGTCGAGTGTCTTTATCCACTGCAGTGTGACACTGTTTAGTGGTGCCGCCTCTTCAAGCGCCAACTGACAATTCATAATCAGCGCAGAGGTAAATTTATCCTTGCTTAGAGCTAAAACAGATTGTCTACTGTCGGTAAAGATTGTAAAAGTCTTATCTCTGTAATTGGAGCTAACAATGTAGTCAGCAGCAAATTTTATAGCGACTAATTCCGCCTGCCTGACAGTGATGCTTTCTTCAAGTGATATGAAGAGACGAAGCACAATGGGTGAGGTGTTTCCTTGAAAATGTGAATTTAACCGGTATATAGTCCGTGCAGCATTCCAATAGAGGTGTGTTTGTCAACGCCTCCTTCCAAAGTGCTGCACTTCCTCCGGTTTCCTCTCCTTTGAAAAGTCCTGCTTCCCGTAGTCGCAACATGGTAATCAGCGCTACCTCCTAAATATATAAATGTAGAGGTGGTAAGTTTAACATGTTTTCCATGGCCGCAGTGGGGGTCGTGCTCATGGCACCTGTAACATACATACACGCAAGTCTCTGTATTCTATTTAGTGCGGTAGTGGCAGTAACCTGTAAGGTTTTAGACCACCATACTACTGCACCATAAGTGAGCATAGGTCGTATCACAGCCGCCCTTCGGCACTGGCCAAATGCGACACTAGCTTTCTTTACTCTATTATCTAGGTGTGACTTCCACGATAGTTTGCTATCCAGAGTGATACCTAAATATTTAACCTCTTTAGACAAACTCAGTGGGCATTTTCCGAACAAGGGCAATCGAAAATTACCAACTTTCCGCAACCGTGTGAAAAGGATTAAATCGGTCTTATTGGGGTTAACCGACAATTTCTGCCTTCCACACCATTTCTCGACTATATTGAGAGCCTCTTGTATACTGTCAAATAACACCCCCACATGTTTTCCCCTGACAAGGATAGTTAGATTATCAGCATAGCCTACGGTAATGAATTTAGCCTCTTTGAGGCGTTTAATAGACTCATCTGTGGTAAGAAGTAATTTTTTAAACACGCAGCTTCATTAATACATATTTCCATCATAGCATGGCAAAACTGTATTCGCAACGCATGGCAGCAATTTTTAATTCTTGCGCGGTCGACAAGTGGCTTAGACACAATTGCCGACTTTTTCTATTATGTAGTTTTGGATATTCCGGATTGTCTTCTTATATCAATAGTACTAGCGGTACTACGATCTACCATAAAATCCAGAAGTAAGTCCGTTGAAATCATCCCATGCCTTGTGAAGGGCGCATTTCAGACTGTCGAGATTCTTGTAGGAAGTAGCAGAGGCCTTGGAGGTGATCATGACTGGAAAATTCAGCACTACTGCTGAACCACTTTAGCTTTGTGCGCGGGCGCTGATTGCTGTTGGAATGTCCAGAGCCGTCCGTTGAAATAAGACTGGCTCCAAGGAAGCACTTCCTTTTCAGAATCCCATCAAGGTAGTTCCAGAAGATGTTGTTGAGCCTCTGGTCCTTAAAAATTAGCGGTGTCTTTCCGGTCGAAGTCACTTCAAACCATGGCCTGCGGCATGACCCTTTCGGGGAAACGTAGCGACCACGCTTCTTCGTTTCCTAAACCGTTCTCGCAAGAATTCTGTAATTTTGGCGGTTGAATATTTGCTCAATCGTGAATAACTTCTCGTCAGTGAAGAGGATGTCTTTGAACTCCGGCGGTGAGAAATGTTTCAGAAGTTCGCGACCTCTCTAAAGGCGAGTGGTGCGTTTTTGCTATCCTGTGCACAGATTTACGGTTGATATTCAGCTCCCTAGCCATTTTCCTGAGACTCCTCTTGGAATTCTGGAGGACCTTGCCTCCTACACGCTTCACTGTGGTGGTAGTCATGGCACTTTTTGGTTTTCCACTTCTAGGAAGATCCTCGATGCTACCGATCTTTCGATAACGATGGATTGTGCATTGGCTGCCTCTTCGGGAAACTCTGTAGTACCCTTTTTGGGGTTTGGTTATCGCTCATACGTATTATATGCCCTAGCTACTGTATTTTACGACATTTTATGAACTATGTCGGCATCTTCTATAATACAGTTTAGTTCATGGTTCATTCTTAATCTCTATTTGCTGTCATTATTTTATATTAGGCCATAAATTCATAATACTTTTCATTCGAATATAGGCTTTGCATAGGTTTATATATTTTCAATTTTGAATCTTCGTATAAGATTTTAGTTACTTTTCTAAGATTTTGTACTTGTTCGAAGTGTAGAGTTTCGTAGATTAGATTGTCTTCGATGATTGGTTTTCTCTCCACCTGCATGTATTTTGCTTTAATTCACATTCAATATTTTCCAGGGTTTCTGCATAGATGAGTATTTAGGTGCTTTTGGAACCAAATCGAATAGTATGGCAGATCGCGCATCTTCTTCTCTGACACTAGTCTTAATATGGAGGGCCGTGTATGTTGGTTGTCTACTCTCACTACTGCCTTGGATACCGCCATGGTCATATTAATGAGTTCCACTAATTTCTTGGGGATTCCAAATATCTGTGGGTCGCTTAGTATTTGATTTTCTAATTATAGTCGAGGGTTTGCTTAAAATTTATGTATAAATTATATAGAGCGATATTATATTCATACGCTTTTTCCTGTATTTAAAGGGAAATACATGATGTGTTGTCGAGCGTAATTAGTTAGCCTAATTACTAATTAGTAGTAATTGTGTATTATACCTGATATAATTTTATAAGTAACGTTATTGGTTTATAGATAGAGCATTCTAATTTGTCCTCTTTTTTATGTATTAGTAGTATGATTCCCATAGACCATTCCTCATGCATCTTTTGATGTTTGCAGATCTTTTTTCTCAGCCCGTCTCTATCCACTCCTAGATGTAGGCCTTTTCAAAACGAGTTATATTCATGTTTCTTTTTTGTACCCTGGGTCGTTTCTATATGGAGAGTTCGGGTATATTTTCTTCACAACGTGGATTTTTTTCGGGGCTAAGGCTATCCAACAGTGTGCCCCATCCCCAGGAGGACCAAGGAAGGACTCTTCTATCAGGGCGGTAACCTGACCTTGGTTGATCTCTTGTCTGCTACATACCGAGTTACTATTGCACGTCATTCACCCAGGGGCTCATGGATCAAGGTCTCTCGATTCCTCGAAAGTCTAACTAACTCAATTTAAGCAAATCTAAGTGGATATTTCCCAGAGTTGATGCTGTGATGTCAGCCTTCGACCTTGGCCGTCTGTAATTAAAAAATCTACATTAAAAGTTGCACGTGCGATGTGTGGTTCAAAATAATTGATTTTCTTAAACGATATATGTATATGTATTGGTAAAATAATTAAGGGTGCTTTTTATGATATTTCACTTGCATGATGCAAATCATCCATTTTTTTTCAAGGAATGACTTGTATATACAATTTTTAGAGGGCGACTATTCGAAATGATCCGTAAGTAAGACTCGGTTTTAATTGTAGCGTCTTCGCTGCATTAAGTAATTTTTAGATTTAATCATCTCAAAACTTAAGCTTGCTTTCTTTATTTTAATCCTCTTGTTTTCTATATCTACCATGTTCTTTTTCTCATACATTTTGGTAAACATATTTTTCGATTACGCATAAGTTATCCTAAACTTTAGCAATGTTATTCAAATACACCTGTATAACCATATAAATAAGTGCTCAACATATTTTTTTTATTTCATAATTTTTTGTGATAGTATTATCAAGATGAACTTCCGGTAACACTTGGTCGTGATTGCGCAGGCATAATAGTCGAAATAGGTAGAAATGTGACGCGTTTCGAAGTTGGAGACACAGTTTGGGCAACAACACCTTTTTGGTCACCTGGTACAATGTCGAAATATGTTGCATTGCCAGAACGGCATGTGGGAAAAATGCCACCTGATTTAGGTTTTGAGAGCGCAACTAGTATTCCGTTTTGTGGCGGAATTGCCCTGGATGCTTTAAAATCTGTTGATTTAAACGTGTTAAACGCAGAAGGAAAAACGTACGTTTCAGAATTAATTTTAAACATACAAACCTAATTAAAAATAATAATTATAGAGTGTTTGTTCATGGTGGATGTTCAGCTGTTGGTTGTCTTGTGGTACAAATATTAAATTACTGGGGTGCAAAAGTAACTGTATCTTGTTATAAACGAGCTGTTCCTGTTGCAAGAGCTTTACAAGTAAATGATATAATACCTTTGACTTCATATCGTGGGGAAGATGCTGTAGTAAAATCGAATAATGCACATTTATTAAAAAAAGAGCTTGATTTGCATGAAAAATTTTGGGCGATTATTGTGACGGTACCATGTGAAATGGATTTATCTGAATTGAAAACATATTGTAAGGATGGTGGTAACGTTATTCTAACGTTACCTCAACCAATTTTGTCTGACCGATATGGATTTTTGCTCAATAAATTATATGGATTTTATATCCAATTAAGGGCTTTCATTCAGGTATGTTAAAAACCATTTTCAGTAATAATAATTACAACTTTTTTTCTGTAGAAATGTTCTAATGAAGGTTTAAAAGATTTTGGTGAAACACACATCTGTTATGAAGAATTGGATCGATTATCTCAATATATAGAAAATGGTGTCATTCAAAGTGTTGTGGACAGAGTTTATCAACCTTATGAAATTGATCAGGCTTTAACTCATATACAAACTTTAGATGCAATAGGAAGTACTGTAATAACGTTTAGGTAGTTGAAATTGTTTAGGGGTTATCGTTTTTTTAAAGGGTTTTACACGAATAAAAGAATGAATACTGTAATACCTCATTATGTCTCTAATTGGTACAAATTGTTATTTATATTATAGTAACATTTTTTACTTTACAATGTCTTGAAGACGATTGTGCCTTTTTGCTAACTGCCAAAAAAATAATAAACGAAAACTCATCAAATCATAGATCTTCCAACTTTATTGCATTTTGTTATTGTTTTATCTTTATTAGTCATGTACCTAAATGAAATAAAATTGTCTACTCCTACAATTATTTTTTTTTTTACTCTGACTACCAATGTAAGTCCTTTTTACTTTATTAGATATACAATGTTTACACCCTGTAATACATCTATCAAACCCAAGACCTACGAGTTTGTCCATGTATAACAATGGAATACATAGTGCGTTTAAGGTCACAATGATTGAAATGTTAAGAATTAGTTCATTAAGTCCACAATTTTATTGACTAAAATTTCGACCCACCAAGAGTAAGACATTATTTTTGATATTATTTCACAAATTGTTGAAATGATAATTTTTCTTTTTGTTCTCGTCTGCCTATTTCCCAGTGTAAATATGAATCTGGTGATTGTTATTCCTTTGTGTCACTTTCATTAAATCTTTAAAAGGTGCCACTTGATTCTTTGGGTGCGTTTCATGCATACGTTTCGGCGATTCCAAGCATATTTTTAAATTTTCTAAACGGTGAAACAAGAAAACCGTCCATGATTCTCCATTTTCATTAAAATGGAAATTAAAATTTATACGTTTCACATAAATTTCTTTTTAAATAATAGCGTGGCAGCAATACGCGGCGTTCGCTTTCTGCCGCGTGCCAGGTTGGACAAAGAATGTTGGTGAGCGGCAATGTTTGGACACACCCTTAAAAAGGAAGTGTCAGCTGAGTTTCAAACTGCTGGTATTCAATTTTTAAAAGCTTATGAATAGCTAAACTATTTTTGCACTTTTTTTCAGATCTATTAGATCACCTAGTTCACGATTGGGCTGAACAGCTTTAATTGAGATTGTATTTTTGTAAGTCGTTGTGTTTTAACCGTATTTCCAGATTGTCGTAACGAATTAATCGGTTGTTATCAAGCGATTCTAGTTGCAATGATTAGTCTACTGACAAAAATCTTCTCTAATTATTTGAGGATTAGACAAATGTTTAGGAAGGATCGTAATACAAGGAACCAAAATTGCCAATTTATCTGTAAATCAATTTTCCAGTTTCTTGTTCTACATTTAAATGCAAACATATATCTAGTCCAGCATCCCAGAACGAATTTGATGTCATTTCTAACTCAAGTCTTGTGTATATAAAAGCGCAAGTCATCTCATTGGTGGTTTCTTTAAGTAACTCCTGAGGTCCTAAAATAATTTTGTATACTCATTGCATAATAATTAACACATCACAATTGCAATAATGAAGTACAGTTTCGAATATTTAAAGATACCTGAGAGGTTGGCATCTGCACTTCCCTGCTATAATATTCTGACTCCTTTGAATGTAAGCAAGTTTAACATGTACTTTGCTCAAAATTATAAATTCTAAAAACTGCAAATATTGAATCCATTTTCTCACATTCTCACTTGAAACCAGAGTCGAAATTGTAAAAGCAGTGGGAGGGAGAGTTTCACATCCACTATGTATATAATCTGTGGTTACAACAACATTGATTTTGATTAATTTTTCTAAAATTCTTGATAATGTGAACTACTCATTTGTTGACTATGCTTAAACATGCAGTTTATTTTTTTCAATACCGGTCAAATTATTGTAAAGTTGGTAACAATTGGTGAGGTGAACAGGAAAATTCCTTTTGTTTATTTTTTTTTCAAATTTCCTTAACATAACTATTTTAATTATCTTTTAGTATATATTTTTGCGTGGGAAGTTGTATATAATTCTTTACTCATTACATCCTTTGTTAACACCAAATCTGCTACAAAATTGATAAAATGTCAGACGAAATAGCGAAATTTGTTATCATTTTAATGAAATTCTTAGTGAGAACAAGAGGGCAAAAGATACATATTGCACGTCCACTTTCAGTTGAGGGTGTGTTGGGAACTTAAGAAGACTTTCAATTGTACTCTTTAACAATCCGTAGGTAATAACCGGTCTTATCAAAGTTTTATATATGGTTATCTTGGTATTGTTTATATATAGTGGATTCCAGGTACATCGTAGAAATCATAGAATAAAAGTTCATAGGTTGAATCGATGTATAAATTTCTTTATTAAATCAGTGCTACATATGTTTCGAATTTAATGGCAATTTAATGCAGCTATTTGGTCCACTTATGCTCATACCTACTCTGGATCCAACTGTCGTTGAAGCATCGGTGTACCAGACAAGAGCTCCTCTTTTGAATTGAGGCTCACCCTGCGTCTAATCATCCCTGCTTCTAAATAACGAGATAACGACTTACCAAGGGTTAAAGCGTTCATTTTGGAAGGAGTAACACGTTAAAAAGTGTAACACAAAGAAAAACCGGAGTCTCACTCGAACCTTCCATTAAGACTCTTAACCGAAACCGAAATAGGTTACTTTTCTGAAAGGAGAAATTTAATTTAATTTAAATCGAACGCATGGTTCAAAGCATGGTTCAACCAATCAGATAATTGCAACTATAGCAATTAAACAAAAAGAGAGGGAAGAAAAACAAAAGGAAAACCCTTTCCTTCTGGTCGCTCTTAACTCTAGGAATGGCCTTATTGGCCAACGTATGGTTCCACCAATCAGACAGTTACAACTGTAACAATTAGACAAAAGAAAAGGAAGGGAAAGATGAGTCGAGCAACGATCCCCTGCTTTCGAGAATGAATAAAAAATATCAATAATTAATTAACCAAATCTGAACAGATCTGCGGATTGCTACATGACCTTATACGGCTGGTCGAAATTATATGCTGTCCATAGGTAACATGTCGTGTTTCCTATGTGGTGTATGAAGTTGCAGATCTCTTGACTAATTATACCGAGGTCGTTTGCGCCCGAGGCTCAGTAACCAAGATTATATCAACTTGAAACTGGTCAACATATTGTGGCGCATCAAACTCAAACGACGTCGTCTTTAACGGATGAAGATCTATAGATTCGGATTATTTCCAGATCAGCTGGCATTAAGGCAGCATTAAGTGCCTATTATGCTTATGTCCATTCCTTGCTAAGATATGGAGTTGTCTTTTAGGGCCGTGGTGTTGGTATAGATAGAATCTTCATACTACAGAAGAGGTGTGTAAGAGCAATCTTTGGTCTAAAAAATACTAATAGCTGTAGAAGTTACTTTAAAGACTATAAAATACCTACCTTGTATGGAATTTATATTCTGGAATGTGCTGTATTGGTTAGGAAGAATTACTTTGAATTTTTCAAAAAAATATGAAATATCATATCCTCGAAATACGCGCGGGAAGGTGAAGTGCTATCTGGTGTTACCAAAAACGCACCTTACTAAGATTCAGAAGACGGCTGTACCAGAGTATCAAGATCTTCAATCACATTTCGGAAGGTACAAAGATCCTGCCAGTTCCAGGATTCCGGAGAAGACTGATTGCTGTTGTCACGGAAAATCTGATGTATACCATTGAAATGTTTTTCTAATTTAATATTTGAACTCTATGTGTATTATATTACAATGCAATTATTGTTAAATTGACGTATTCTACACTTTTTTTGGTAAAATGGAGGGAATAAAGTATTTTATTATTATTATTATAAGATCTTTTGACTAATTAAGCCGAGGTTGCTTGCAGCTGCTGATTAACATCATATCATACAGATTGATTCAAAAAGTCACCATGCGTTGGAACTGTACCTACCAAATGCTAAAACGTATTTTAAAAAATAAAGCTCTCATAGTATCTAGAGTTGTGTAACACTGCGCTGCGCGGCGCAATTGAGTTAACTCAGTACAGTGTGTTGATACCCAATTTTAAAATGAGTCAACTCAATTGCGCCACTGTTGGCGTAGTAAAGCACGCCGGTGTGGCTTGAAGATTTACAAATATGTATGTAAGTGATAATTCCATCCCTTAATCACGTATAAAACCTTCATTTATTAGAACTTGGAACGAAACAGCAGGCGGATAGATGTGATGCATATCCACTTTGGCCGTACTGGAATCCACTTTTGTCAAGAAACCTGTACGATTTAATCGCATATTATTGTGAAAATTCGAACTTGCACATCTTAATAGTTAAAACATGCAATAACTTGATGAAGCAATAACTGATCCATTAATATCCAGAGAATAACACGACCTGAGCAGATTGAAAATGCAGGATGATATTTAATAGGGAATTTGTATATGTTGGAGGCAGATGACGAATTCGGCCCGTGGCCGATTTATTTAGACATATCGGCATATGTCTAAAGCTGTTAGGTCACATGACGAAAAAATGATACAATCGGGATCTGACCATATCAGTTTGAACACGTCTCGATATGTACATTTGCACAATGCGCCGATCCGATCGGAACTACACATAACCTCTTTTGGGATGTTTATGAGGGACATCACTTACATGCAGTGTGTTTATTAGTACGTTTTACTGTTTTTAGCAGTTAAACATATCCCGAAATGTTAATTGTTGCTTTGGTCATATGAGAAACAAATGCAATGTAGGAACTAACATAATATTTATTTTATTACTTATTGCGACATGAAGTACTTGAATGACATTTATTGTTACATTTCAAGTTCTTTAATAAGCATTTGCACTTTTTATTACTGCACTGTTTACGACAGTTGCATCTTACAAACCCCTGGGAAGAATTTGATTCTTTTGCCGCCACCGTTCGCGAACTGAGTTTATTTTCGATGGGTACATCTGAAGATGTCAATGAGTTCGTTTGAGAAGGCTGAAAAGAAAAACTTTATTACCGTTTAAATATATAAAATATTAGTTAAGTACATACCTGGAACTCATTCCTTGCATATAGCTTTTCCAAGACGCCAGTTGATGTACCAAGTTGGTATAAATCATCTTTCTCGGACAATACAATAGCCAAAATGTTACGAGGAGCTAAGCGTCCTCTGTCGACATCAGAAATTTTAACTAAAACGTTCTGCCCAATTTCAATTTTTGGGAATTTGGAACAACTTTGCTGTAACATTTCTGTTGCTTGCTTTTTTAAACATGCAATACTATGAGATCGATGTTGATTTATTGATTTTAATCGGATTTCGTTGTTCCTAAAATGAAACATATAATAATAATAAGCAATGTAAATTCTCTGCGTTTTTTAGGTTACCTCAACAATTCTTCCTCAGCAACAATCATTTTTGGAATAATTTATGGGAAAGCTTTCTTGTACATCTTTTTCATTTCCTCCATCACTGTTTTGAAATTCTGAATCTGATTTTTCAGATACTACCTGTTCTATGTTTCTACCAACACTGCTTTCTAATCTATAAATGTCGTCATCATCGTGTAACTTCTCTATAATTTCAAGCGGAAGATTTGAATCTTTTAAGCCATTATCAAGTGGGATTCCAAACATAGCCTCCTATGGAGTACGTTGGATGCCTCGGTGAAATGATCTATTCTTTTTTAATTGCATAAATCTTAGACCTTCTGCCCACTTAGTTCTCATTTTCCTGCATCCAAGTAATTAAAATCTCTCTTACATCTTGGTTCGCTCTCTCGATGGACCCTTGGCTTTGAGAATGACGTGGTTTACCATGAATTATTTTCGCTTGAAACATATCTGCAAGGCTAGTAGTTACTTGATTCACAAATTCTCTGCCATTGTCACTATGAAGCAAGCAAGGTGCTCCGACTATGCAAAAAATATCCATCAAGTTATATGCTACTTCTTTTGCCTTTTTAGTTTTTAGAGGTTTTAAAAACACAAATTTTGTGAGGTGGTCTTGGTAATTCATGATAAACTTATAAGGGCCATCCGGTTCTGTTTACATATCAATAAGATCAATTTGTCCCCTTTTATTAAATTAGTATCCCCCTGCCGAAATTATTGGTTTTACTACTAATCCTTTCTGCTTCGATTTTTTCTTTAATTGACACATAGCACATAATTTCAAATACTCTTCAATGACACTTCTGGGAATATTACAATATTTCTTAGCAATTTCTTTTTCCATTCCTAATCTTCTTTTATGGCCAGTATCTTTATGAACTTTTTCTAAAATGCCGTGTACCTCCGTAACATCGCAATCATACCTAATAGAAACCACATCATCATTCTTTCGTTTTGCAATAATTTTCTCTTTATCACCAATTCTTAGAATTTCAAATCTATTCAAACGCCTATAATCTTGACAACTTAGTTTTTCCTTCGTCTCTTTCTTTGACATGCTGTTCTTTACTTGATTTAAAATACTTAAATAATGCTTAACAGTTAGTACGGTGGTAAAATTATTAGCGCCACTATTTTCAATTAATTTAAAAAGCTTAGTTTCAAAAATTTGTTTTTCAACTAAATATTTTTCACTTTCCATATTTAAAGTCAACCACTTTATATTTAAAACTTTATAACTTCGGTAACTGCTAAAAACAGTAAAACGTACTAATAAACACACTGCACGTAAGTGATGTCCCTCATAAACATCCCAAAAGAGGTTATTGTAATTCCGATCGGATCGGCGCATTGTGCAAATGTACATATCGGGACGTGTTCAAACTGATATGGTCAGATCCCGATTGTATCATTTTTTCGTCATGTGACCTAACAGCTTTAGACATATGCCGATATGTCTAAATAAATCGGCCACGGGCCGAATTCGTCATCTGCCTCCAACATATATAAGTCTTATCTTTTCGTATTAAAACTGTTTTTATAATTCCATAAAAAGGCAGAAAAATTGATAACATTTAATTTTATTTAAACTGTATAATAATGTATAAATTTAACAAGTGTTATAAATTATTTATATTACAATATGTTCAACTTATCTTTACAAATTAAATCTAATTTTATAATAACTTACTTTTCCTTTTTCTATCTAAATATAATATTATCGTACATATCTTTAGCGTTTCGCGATGAGTTCCTTTTAAACGGATTCCAAGACAGTCTCTTATTGTGATGATTATGTTGAGCAATTGAACCCGAAGGACTCGACATTTCACTAGACACACCTGAACTGCTACTATGAGTCGATACCGTACTTTTTGTTGTTTTAGAAGGCTACAAATACATTTATTTATATTTTTGGTAATTATTATTAAAATGTGTACCTTCAAATAATTCCTATCCATTGGTGTAACCAATTTTAAACTTAAAGTATCCCCGTGATTTTTAATAAGAGCCACTACTTCATCGTGACACGACCATTTTACATCTACATCTCCAATAGCCACTATGAAGTCACCTTCTTTAACACCACCATACTAAAAATTTTACAAGAAATGATTTAATTCTTTAATAATTTATTTAATTTACCTCTGCTAAAGAATTTGTTTCAACAATCGCGACAATAACTGGAGCATCTCCTCTAACAGAAAATCCAAATCCTTCGGTAACTCTTCCTCGATATAATTGGATTAATCTCGGTGCCGTCCAGTGTCTCTTAGCTGAAAATATTGCGATTGGTCCTAAATTTTTGAACAAATCATTTACTCGGTGTTGTGTAAAGTCTGGTGAGGTAAGAGACAGTTGAAATTTTGTGGCAGCTTGAATTTCAGGTGGATCTAAAATTTCTCGAAAATCATTTTCGTGTTCTTGTGATGTATAAGAATGTAATATATTTCGATGGGCCGTCCTAAGAACGTTTATTAAGGCATGTTTGCCTTTTAATTCTCTACACATTCTGTGAAGTCTTTGGCATTCTTCATGAAGAAGTAAAGCTTCTCTTAAATGGGCTTTTCCTATAAAACAATAAAATAACTCTTTGAAGAAACTTTCAAATTCTTTAAGTATTTATTTTTCTTACCTAATAACTTTCTTTCAGTATCGTCTTTTGGTATTCTGATGTCAAGTTGTGTAGATGCGCTTTCTACATGCAGATATTCCATGACCTCTTTAGTTGCAGCCGACATATTCGCCGCTTCTTTGTCCAGAATACCTTTGGCAGCGTGAAAATGGGCCATCGCGCCGTAAAACTCACGTTTCACTTGAACAACGGCCGTCCAACTGTATGGAACGTAATCTTTTACCGATGGATGCGCGATAAGTTTATGAACGTGATTATAACAATCTGAGAGATGTTGAGCTTCTTGTGCCAAATCGAAACAAATATCAATTGAACGTTTTTCTTGTGATTGAAGGTCGAGTTTTTCTAATAAACATTCTCTTGCTTGAGTCTGTTTTATTTAAAAAAAAAATTAATAAAATGAATCCGAAGAAAGGTTAAGAGATCTTACCAACATGAGTTGTATAAGCATTTCTAGCATATCGGGCCCTAAATCCATAGAAGGAGCATTCGTAAAGTTTTCGTTGATATATCTAAATGTTCCAGCGGCTCTTAAGAAACTATCAACGGCGGCATCGAGTCCCTTTGCTGTGGTACGATCTTGTTTGGCGCCTATTTGCGTGTAAACCGCGCCGATGTTAAAGAGGACGCACGCTTTTTCGAAGGCGACCGTTCGTTGGCATGACGGTACTCCGGTTAAGGAATCGAACCATTCGAAGTAAATTCCCAAAGATCGATCCGGCGAGAAAAATCTTCTTTCCACGAAATACAACTGGTTGTAGTATCTGAAGAGAAGACCGATTCCGGCACTATCACGCAACGGAGTTCTCATTGCCTAATTAAAACAAAAAATTTGATAAATTTATTTAAAAAGAGAAAGGAAACCTTACTTGTCTTGTGTCCATAAAATCAGCTATTGCGTCTTCATATTGAGAAGCGTCTTCGCTGTAATGTTCTAAAATAAAATCTTTGAACGAATCCCTAAAATCGATTTCCTTTGTTTCTTTAAGTCCTAATGGTATCATAGGCATAACATCGTTTGTACTGAAAAGAAAATTAAAAACAAATTCATTAAGTAGGAACTTAAAAGATACTAAAAGAAACTAAATCTGATGTGTAATGATCCATAAAATCACATTAATTACTAAATTATTTACATATCTCCATTTAATTAGTGAGATTATGCATCGAAGTAGCAAAAATGAGTCTGGAATAAATCGTGGCGTGAACTAACGTAATCTAATAGCGTTAAAAAAGGCTACGCTTCGCTCCACAGGCTTCTGGTATGTATTTCCTGACTTTAAACCGTATACTGTAACTGTAAAAAGAAAGATGGGCGGTGTGATTAACTCTTACACGTCTTCTAAAATATATATCTTCATTTATATTATTATCGAATGATGGAGGAATCTGTTTTATACCATTTACAACTCGTTATAAGTAACGGAAGATTCTCACTAATGTTCTTTTTATGTCTCTTTTATGTTTTATTATAGATAACTGTGTTATACATATGTATGAAACGATTTGATAATGTTAAATAACGCTAAATAAAATGCTATGTCAAAACTAATTCTTACTGTACGAATTTTTGGCGATTAAATCAAGGAATCTCGAAAAATGAGAATATTTAGAAAATTTGTTTGATATTTTATTTGTTTATAATTTATTTAGTTATAATGTTTGACAGCCAAAAAAGAATGTATATTGTTAAACGAAGTGTTACAGTTTGTAACAATATCGAATCAGTTTCCGCAAATTCTAAGTAAATATCACTTTTGGGTGCAAGTAAGATTAAAATCTGCCGAAACAATTTGTTAAGACTATATGGAATGTCGAATAAGGCCTAACAGTGCCTTTGAATCAAAGGGATAGATCAAAACCGCGGAAATATGCTAGATCGTGAAATCATTATGAAGATATCAGCTCATTTTCAAAAATAGGTTCCCAATACTCTTTAATTCCAGTGATATGTTTGTACTCATATTTGTCGGTAACCAAAATGCATCAACTTTTTATTGAAAACTAGCTTGACTTGAGACGGACCAAAAAATTGTATAGCAAAATTGCAGAATTAACAGCGATCTGTAAACAAAGCGATGACGTTATAGATATCGTATTTGATTATATGCAGAATTTGCCCTTTTATGCCAGTGAAATCTTTTATCTGCGAAAATGGTGGTATTATGTTTTCAATATTCTTCAAATATATTAATCCATCTTCTATACATATACAAAAAGAGAGATAAGAAAGGCCTAAACGAAATTCTCCACTAATTACTACTCTATGTCTTCAGTGATGATTGCGCAAGAAAAAATAGACATGATACTCTTGATATTGAACAACATTGAAAAAAATATAGAAACTTCACCATTAGTAAATTTGCCATTTTCTATATCAGGGATGAATTAAGGTCTAGTATTTTCAGATTGAGCAAGAAGAATAATATTGCTTTGCAGCAAGTCTACGAAGACAAAGTTGCTAGAAATGACAAGAAGTTGCAGAATGTGGCAACGGTCATTCATTAAATATCAGAGGCCATTTTACGACAACCTTATGACGTACTCCAACCCTAATACAAATCAGAGTGATGAGGAAGATTGCTTTTACATGTGTGGCAAGTCAACTCAACTGATAAGCTTGTCTTCTGATATAAATTATGCAGCCCAAGTACTACTTGTTGTGTGATTTAATCATCGACAAAACCTTGAATTATTATGATTATTGTTCCTTAAAAGTCTACCACATTGAGAGAAAATGCAGTAACTGAGTGTTTAGAGAAACATCGATATCTTAATCATCGCCATTTTAAAGAGAGAGAGAACAATATTTATTTGGACTTATACATATTATATAAAAATAATAACTATAACAAATACGAATAAATTAAAAAAAATACATAAATAAAACAAGTGTAAGATAACTCCAAAAGGGCTATAGACCTGAGTCTTCCTGCATTTTAAAGAATTTTTAACATTTTAGAATGTCGTTAAAGCTCATGAATATTCCTTAAAGTCTTATCTAAATCAGCTTAAGCATAAAGTACAGAGTGTTTATTTCCGTGTTATGTTGCGCATCTGCTAAAATACTTTTTATATTACATCCGAAACGGTTGCTTTTATTAACAGGTTTTAGGAATTCATAAACAGCAACACAACGTTAGCCTTTGTTACTAAAACCTGTTGATGCAACTATACTAGAATTATATTTTAATTAAATTCTATGTGTTCTGAATTAAGATAACAGTTAGACAGGATCGAGGGATAGGAATGCAAAAAAAAATAAAGTTTACATTATGAAGTGTCTTATCGATTTGAAAGTTTATCCATCGGAAGTTTAATGTGTCACATTTGAAAACATCCATATCGATTTAGTTCGAACTACTATTATCGAATCAAGGAGATACATGCATGAACTGATTTTCGCATTAGGCCGTGGTGAGACCTATGCAGAGAGTAGGAATCACGCATCATTGGAAGCGCTACATGAGCGCTCATCGTTTGGAATAACAAGACATTTACCCCAGAAAAGAGAGAATCGACCCTTTACGACCAACTTACATCTTGGTCAGAGAACAACAACCCCGGGTGAATCTACAGTTACCAAAAGCTATGCTGAGAGATCCATGAAATCCGTAGGCAGACCCTTTTTCATCAACAACGCGGTCGGTGGGATTGTATGATTTCTAGAGTATTTTTGAATATTCTAGAACATTGTCCTAATATTTTGTAACGTCGGGAAGACTCTTTCTGACCATCTGGATACTCAAACATTCTAGTTCAGATTTCCTCTGTATGGTTTTCCGAAGAAATCGTACAAACACTACGAACGACCTATTCTGAAGTTTCTGCGGGGACAGAAAAGGGTTCTTTAGAAGGCTGTTTATCCAGAGACGCAACGACCAAAACCCCATCACATCTAGCAGTTAAAAGAGCGAGTGCATTCCCAACATTAGGGTATGTTTACGTTGGAGCTGCGATAAACGATAATAGCGACGATACTACCAAAACAACGAAATTGTTGTCATAGTTTTATATGCAGGTGTTTATATTGAAACGAGAGCTGCGATAAACGATAAGAGCAACAATGAGAGCAGCGATAAGAGCTGCGCAAAATGAATTGAAAATGATTTGTCAGAACAAATCTGTTGTGGTAATTTTTATCTTTTTGGTCCCAGAAGGGGGATCTAACAAAAATTTCACTAATTAAACATCGTTAGTCGGCTGTCAAGCGTGTGCCAACGCGTCGCCCCAATATAAACAACTGTATATAAAACTATGACAACAATTTCGTTGTTTTGCTAGTATCGTTTATCGCAGCTCCAACGTAAACGCACCCTTAGACATAATATGGTTGGATCTGTACAGTTTTGTTCTAGATAAAGTTTTCTAAAGATTTCATTCCTGGTGGAGGACATCAACTTCGCCTAAACACTATGTCGATCGACGTCTCTTTGTAACCTCTTTGTTATCTATGGAAATATGTTTTATTTATTCATCGATTTTTTGCAAGAGAAATGATGTCTATCGATATCTATTTTCCTTTGTAATGTGACAAAAACCTGACAATGCCTGATGGATGAAGTATTACGAGGATTGAGTTTCAATCATCAACGATATCGTATTATCTTGACCATGAAGGAAAGTATCTGTAGACTTTCAAGTGGTTGAGTGGTTGAAGATGTCAAAGAAGCTGCAAAGGTTCATAGGAGTATTCAAGGTCTCAAGGCAGATTGCATCAAGATCGGTCAAACACAAAGCTCTTCTGAATGACTTGTTAAAAAGGAATCTAAAAGGGAAAACACAAATCAATTGGACGGAGACAGTTGTGCAAGCTTTCAGTAAGCGCAAGCTACTATGGTCGCGTATCCAGCATAGACGTTGATCTTACCATCTCGTGTGACGCTCCGATTTCGTAGTTGGATCAGTCTTGAAAGAAAAAGTCGTTGGAGTATGGAAAGTTGAGCACCATGAAAAAGAAGTATGATGTCTACAACAGGTAATTACTAGCTACTATAGGTAAAGAGGATGTTTCTAAAAGTCATATCGGACATACATCATGCGTCCGAAACATGTGTCAAAATTCTTGGAACCAGGTTGGGGTTTCACCCTAAACAGGGCAAACCAGAACCTACCTGAAATTTTACGTTACCATGTACCTGATTCTAGAATATCCACATCCATCTAGTCTAACTATCATCCATTATACGACGTAAGGGGATATATATATATAGGCATTTAACACAGGCACGTTAATTGGGACTTACTCGAAACGACAAAATATTTACTAGAAAACCTAGAAAACAGAGACATGCAGATTACCGTCTCTATTAAGGGTCTCTCACACCAAATGTTGACAGACCCCGCAAGGCAGATCTTGCTCCACCACGCATAATTCCCATGACATTTTCTGGAAGAACCCTAATCTCTCACGGCAAAACATTTATAAAGGTTTCTGACATCTGCAATCCTAAAGCTGTATGGGTTCGAAAATACTACAGAATTCATAGAATTTGTTCCTGCCATTGTATCCACTGATGTATCAAAAGCGGAATTGAAGTGGCTGAAAAAACTTTCTGATCTGCAAGACGTGAAAAGACAGGCTACAGTGCGCGATTGGAAAATGTCTAGCAATACGTCCACGACGTATCATTTATATACAACACTGTAGCAGACTCTTTAGGAATGATAGTATACTTCGCATGATAACAGATTTAAAAACCATTGGAAACACCAATTGTGTTCGTTCCCATACTTTATTAGCATTCACCCTTGATGACGACATTTGGGGAACTTTTTGGAACAATTAGTTATAGAGAGCTATTGACATCCTTTAAAATCTCATTGTATCGAAAGCAATTTGTATTTAGTAACATTACAAGATATTTTGATTTTGAAAAACGCATTAGGATATAGTGAGAGCTCTTGTTAGTCATTCGTCACAATTTGGAGTACCTGAGAGACTAAAATGTAAAAAACAGCTAGAAATAAACACGGTTGTTAGCTATTGGAGATTATTAAGAGCTAATTTGAGGTAACATACT